TATCTACCTGTAGGTATGCCTCCCATACCTGATCCTAATCGGTAACACAATATTTTTCAAAATCATAACCAAACCCGCTTGTGTTTGAACCATTTACCATATCGTAGACACATTGTCAATCTCTCTTCATGCTTTTTATCTTCGACTCAATATGTGGCTTACCTAAAATACCCAAGTCCGGAAGTGATTGTTTTAATGATTGGTCAAGGTGTTGTAAATAACCCGACTTAAAACCATTATCGACTTTAAATCCTCTTGCATTTTTCATATTCACCAATACCTCAACTAGATTTTCTTCTTCATTATTTATCTATGTCTTATAATTTCTAATTTTACTTGTCATACCTATATAAAAATAACAAAAACCAATAGATAAGTATCACAAATAATTTTAGAAATGGAACAATCTTCCAACAAAATGATAAGCAAGCAACAGTTTTTCCAACAAAACAATAAGCAAGCAATGATTTTTCGAACATAATGATAAGCAAGCAACAACTTTCCAAAATAACGATAAGTAAACAATACAACAATTTGTCCAACATAGAGATACATTATAAATACATAAGCAAAATTGTAATTTAATTGGTTGCGCCCTTAGATGCAAACATGGACTCAGCTAAATTATCTTTATATATGGTCCATTCATTCGAAGTCCCTATAGAAGTAATAGTATCATCATCTTCAGGTCCAAGATCTCTAGTTCCCTTGTCCTTAACAATCATTATCAAAAGGATCTACTTCTATTGCTTTTCTTATGAAGTTATGTAGTATACATGTCATTATGATATTATTTTTCATTTCAAATGGATAATACAAATTGTCCTTCAATATTCCCCATCTTCCCTTCAAAATGCCAAAACATTATTCAATAACATTTCTTGCTACTGAATGTTTCAGTAACATTTCTTAGTGATTAATGTTTCATCAATATCCATATTCGTACTTTGTTTTAGTCCTCCGAATGTTTCAAGCATATGACATAGCTTTTTAAAGCATATTCGAGACATCCTAGTTTGTGATATAGACATGCCGTCACTCACATAAACTATTTCATGTAGTATTATGTATCAATCTATATTTTAAGAAATCTGCTTAATACGTCGTTTATCTATATGGGTTTTGAACATCATTAACATGAGGAGTACAACAATATGCAAAACCACATTCCACCATTTCAAAATCAATGAAGTTTGAATTTATCTATGATTATATGTTGTTAAGCTAGATTAGGACATTTTCCTATCCATACAAATTTATATCATATTGAGAGTGTAATGTAATTTCCAGCTAGTAACTATCACATTGAGAGTGTAATGTAATTTGAAGCAAGTACATCTAATTTCAGTAATGTAAACAACACCATTCATTTTCACAAATGTTAATGTTAAAAATATATGAACAAAAACATGAAGCATTTATTGTTGCTACAAGCTGTCACACCCCCGACCCGATGAGACAGCGGAAACGAATGGTTATTGAGAGTGTAATTTATATCATATATGTTGTTAAGCTAGGTTAGGAAATTTTCCTATATCATATATGTTGGTAATCTAGGTTAGGACATTTTCCTATTCATACAAATTTATATCATATTGAGAGTGTAATGTAATTTCCAACTAGTAACTATCACATTGAGAGTGTAATGTAATTTGAAGCAAGTAAATATAATTTTCAGTAGTGTAAACAAAACCATTCATTTTCACAAATGTTACTGTTAAAAATAGATGAACAAAAACATGATGCATTTGTTGTTGCTACAAGTTGTCACACCCCTGAACCGATGAGACGACGGAAACGTACGGGGGCAGGTTGAAGTCATGTACAATATCATAACAATTGAATAATAGAGATCAAAGCATTACGAACATTGCATTAATAATTTAATGTTTACATTAAGTTCGAATCATTGTATGTTTGACTCCAAAAACATTTGGCAATATATAAGACATAAATATGCTAAGCTCCGTCTTCACAAAAACTTGTGTGGGTACCTATCTACTGATTCCCTGATAATACAAGTGGTTTTGAAAATGTGTCAACAATTAAGTTTGTGAGTTCATAAGCATTTTATATGAAATATATATATATATATATATATATATATATATATATATATATATATATATATATATATATATATATATATATATCTTTGTTCCTTGGAAATGATAGCATGTTCTTCCAGAAAATCCAATATTTTCTTATATATGTACTATAGTCTTAAATGTTCCAAGGCGGAAATGTTCAAGTATTTTCCATACTTAAAATAGTATATGTCGTTTTCATACGTATATAAAACAAATTGAATGTATATTTCCATAAATGTAAACTGTGTTATAGTGTAGAATAATGTTCTGTAATTGTATCTGTGTAAAACCTTGTAAATGTAGGATTTCAGAAATGTAAAATGTATTGTACTGAAAATTGTATAATGTAGTTTTATCTCTAAATAAAACTAGTTGAAGATATATTCATATTCGTAAACCAAACGTAATATTAACACCCAATTTTGAGTTATTATAACCATACTTGATGACTGATGGCCTGGTACGACGTTCTTCAGGTGTCGTAATGTTACAACATTTGTCACCCCAGACCTACCGGTCTAACTATAGCTAACAGTTTTGATGTGGGACTGTCAGTCCCGTATAGATCTATACACAAGTGTCACGCTCTCCATCCAGGAGACTCTGGTTATAATATAGGACTTTTGTTGGTACTTAGGTAAGGACTTGAAGATAGTGTCTCACAAAGCTATATTAATGGTTTATGTATAGTGTAGTGAAATTCATTTTTCTTGTAATGTTTGTATCTATTACCTCATCGTAGTGTTTTTCTGTGTGAAAAATAATTATTCTATTAAATAATTATTTTCTGTCCCCCCAACCGAGTAAAATAGTGTATATGTTCCACAAATTATACATATTATAGTTTATATAAATGTTTCGTTGAAATAGTGAACCATTTTGTATACTATTATCAAATTTACCATGATAATAAAATGAAATGAAATAATTATATATGTTTGTTTATATAATTATACCCTATTTGTTCGACATGTTACAAAAAGGGTTAAAGTCTTATTGTAATCAAATGTGTATCTAATTGTATGTTTCATATATATATTATATATATATATAATATATATAATATATATATATATATATATATATATATATATATATATTGTTGTTAGAAAAACCGTGGTGTATTCGTACGCAAAATTTGTATGTGTTTATATCCTGAATTTGGTAATAAGGATGTTTCGTATATTTATGCGTTTTCGTAAAAATATAAGTAAGCATATGTAAAACGATCTGTATTTTTAACACAAATTTTTCTTATGTTTTACTTGTATTCCCCCCCTCCCCTCCCTCTTTAAAAAAGCATGGAAAAATCGTAAAATCTATAGGGGTATGAACTTACCTCGGGTGTGTTCTTGGTTGTATAGGAAGTGATAGTGACAATCCTCGGGTTGGAACATGCATGTATAGTCGTATCCTAATAGTATATAATCACACGATATTGTTTATAAATTAATTAATTAATTATGAAAGTGTTTATAAAAACACTTGATTTAGTAAGGGAGCTTACAAAGTTTTCTAAGAATCAAACTATTAAAAATAGCTTTGTAGGCAACTTTGATGAGTTATTGGGAAAATGTTTGAAGATATGAAGATATTCTGTGCATAACTTTGAAGATTTGAATAGTGAATTCGGTTCTTTGAAAGCAAAATGGAGAGTTTTCGAAGTTGGAAATGAGAAATGAGTTTGTGATTTTGGTTTGAGCATATATATATATATATATATATATATATATATATATATATATATATATATATATATATATATATATATATATATATATATATATATATATGAGGTAAAATTTTGATTTGATAGGTGCATAGGGAAGTGTATTTTATCATTTTGGGATGTATGACACTGATTGGAAATTTGTTCTCGGCTTATCCTAACCGAAATCACCAGATATCGGTCTAATAATTCAAACCGAGAAGTGTAGTATTCGCTCTAAAGTGTTTTTAGTCCATAGGTGGGTCCTCGGATGAGAATTCTCGGTCTCGCATGGGGATCTCAGCCAAAAAGGGTTTCCGGTGAGTGGTTATCGGTGCAAGGCCTAGATCTTGGTCCTAACTTAATTCACAAAAAGGGGATTTCGGTTTTTGTGGGTTTTTTATTCCAAAAACCGAAAACTCATATAATGGGGTATAAATTCGTTATTTATTGGATTTAACCTTAACTATTTTAATTATTTGACTTATGTTTGACTCGTTGACTTTGGTTTAACTTGTTTGACTTTTATTGATCTGAAATAACCGGTTGTTACACAAGCTATTCTAATTGATTAATGAAGAACAATTTGATTTTCACGAAGATAAACAACCTGATTTTCACAGAAACACACACAAAAACGATTTTGAATAAGCATCGATCTTCATAGAAACAACAAGTTACTCGATTTTAATATAAAATTCGAGTTTCACTAAAATCAATTTTCAGGAAGATAAACAACACAATTCAACTTTCACATATATGTATTTTCACAGCAAGAAACGATGTTCAATCAATAGAAAACCATCGATTTTCACAATACTTTAAGAGGGGGAGAGAGAGAGCCAGAGAACGATATGGAGAGACATCGAGATTTAGATCGATAGTTATAGCGATACACATACCTGGCAAAGAGATGGAGAAGATGAGTTGAATGTGATGTCGGCTGCATTTCGATTTTGATGAAGAGTTGGAGAAGATGAGTTGAGTGTGATGTCGGTTGCAATTCGATTTTGACGAATACATGAGATATGGTTTTGGTTTTTAGAATGATTTTGTTATAATAAAATGCGTATAATGGTAATGTTTCATTTTCCTTAAGGATATAGAATTTTTTTTCCATCATTTTGTTGAAAGAAAGTATTTTCCTCCGTATAAATGAATGTTTTATTATTTAGGATTCATTTTTCTTCTTCAAAATTGAACCCAACTCTATGCCAACCAAATGCACTTCTTTTTTTTCTCAATGTTCTAATGGGCTTATAACTTCAAAAGCAGATTTAGTAAAGTTCGGTCCGGTACTCCGGTCCGTATGCTTAATTAGAGCCTGAAGATCAGCTTCGCTGTTCCGCCTTTGTACATACATCAACAATGGCGTCTGCCATTCTACATTTGGTACGTAATCCATACACGTTTTATTAAATACTTGTTGTGTTTCCTCTATCGAGTAAGCTCAAATCATCTCTGTAAATTGTGCTCTTGCAGAGCCTTGGGTATAGCAGTACAACAAGGGCTTGTATTTCTGAGGTAAAAAACTAAAATCCCTCTGGCTTTGAATTCGTTATTGCAGTTTGGTTTTTGTATTTTCGAACTGATTTTACTTCAATTCTTCTGTGTTTTCGAAACTAGAAATTAGAATTTGGATGCCGAATTTTCGTGCTGAAATCTGGAAAATCCGGTGTATTTTTGGTATTGAACCCTAAATATCACAATCATGTTGCTTTCCTTACAGGAAAGAAACCACGAGAAGGTGAAGCTCTTAGACAACATCAAATCCATCGATGAAAAAACGGTCATTTCCAATTCCCAACAATCAAAACACCATAAACTTCCTCCACTAGTTAGCGCGCTAAAAGCTTCATCCGAGCAAAAAGTTGCAAGTTTTCACTTTCCTGGACATAACAGGGGTAGAGCAGCTCCTTCTTCATTGTCTAATCTCATTGGACTACAACCTTTCCTCCATGACTTACCTGAGCTTCCAGAACTTGACAACTTATTCACACCTGTGGGACCCATTTTAGATGCTCAAAAGCAAGCAGCTGAATTGTTCGGAGCTACAGAAACATGGTTCTTAGTTGGGGGAACAACATGTGGAATCCAAGCATCAATCATGGCTACTTGTTCACCAGGAGATACACTAATTCTCCCAAGAAACTCTCATATCTCAGCTTTTTCTTCCATGGTGTTATCTGGTGCTATACCGAAGTACATTACCCCTGAGTATGATTCTGATTGGGACATTGCTTCTGGTGTTACTCCTTCACAGGTATGTTTAGAAAACTCACTAATTCTACATATTTTTACTTATGACCAAATTGCCCTTTTCAGTTGGAGAAGGCAATGAAAGAATTGGAAACAAAAGGTCAAAAACCATCTGCAGTTCTCATAACCTCCCCTACATACCACGGAATCTGCACCAATCTCCAACAAATCTCCACATTATGTCATTCCCAAAATACCCCTCTCATTGTGGACGAAGCCCATGGGGCCCACTTCGCCTTTCACAACTCCTTCCCTCTCTCAGCTCTCCACCAAGGCGCCGATCTCGCTATTCAATCAACCCACAAAGTGCTATCATCTCTCACACAATCATCAATGTTACACGTGTCAGGAAATATTATAAATCGAGAAAAAATATGTCAATGTCTACAAACCCTTCAAACCACTAGTCCAAGTTATCTCCTTTTAGCTTCTTTAGATGCCTCCAGGGCTCAAATTAGCGAAAACCCTAAAATTTTCGATAAAGCTGTCGAAATAGCCACCGAAGCAAAATCCCTCATTAAAAAAATCCCTGGAATCAGAATCCTCGATTCCGGTGTCAACATCGGAATCCTCGATTCCGGTGTCAACATCGGAATCGATCCTTTACGGATTACAGTCGGAGTTTGGGAGCTTAAGATTTCGGGATTTGAAGCGGATGATATTTTGTATGAAAATTATGGTGTGGTTTCGGAACTTGTTGGGACCCGTTCGATTACGTTTGCGATAAATCTAGGAACGCGGAGGGACGATGTTGTTAGGCTTGTGTCGGGGTTAAAGTACCTGTCGGAATCACGGATTCCGATTCCGATTCCAATTCCGATTCCGAGTGATGTACGGGTTTTTATGGGGATGTGTAGTGGGATGAGATTGAGCCCTCGAGAGGCGTTTTTTGCGAGTAAAAAGAAAGTGAGTTTTAGAGAAAGTATTGGTGAAATATGTGGGGAATTGGTGTGTCCGTATCCGCCTGGAATTCCATTGCTGATTCCGGGGGAAGTGATTACGGAGGAGGTGTTGAGGTATTTGATGGAGGTGAAAAATAATGGGGGGTTTGTTAGTGGTGCTGCTGATTCCAGTCTCTCCACCATTGTTGTTTGCAGTTGATTATGTGAATAGCGATGTACTTTAGTTAATTTAGTGTTGTATAGATAAAATAGTAAATGGATAAAGGATGTATCTCTGGAATATAAACATTGATTCTTTTTCTAGTGAATGAATGTTTGAAAATAATAATTTACTATTTATTTAAGAGTTTTTGTAAATTAAAATTGTGAATGACCAATGATAAATAAATAACTTACAAAATCTTATTGTTTCAGTAACTTTAACATCATCTTCTTCATGCTCTTCATTTTTCTGTGATTTCTTTAAAGCTTCAAACTTGGCTGCAAACTTCTTGCCTCGAGATCCTTTTTTTTTTTTCGTTTAATAATATATGTTTGTATGAAGATATAATACTCGATTCTAGTTGTTTTTTCTGAAATTTTTTATAATTCACTCAATTTTCTATGGATTCCCAAGGTAAGCTAAGCAAGCCGGCTCTAGCCAAAAACGTAAATTCTCACAAGGCAGTTCAATTTAAGATATTCCAATTTCTTCTTTAGGATTTCAAAACCCAAACTATAATACATAAACTACCAATAAAACCAAAAGTATTTACAACAATATTACCCGGTGCAACAATCTTACAACACATTTAGGGTTTAAGAGGAAAATCCAAGCTAGAATCCATGGAATCAGTTTTACCAAAGTGTTCTAGAAACCCACTTCTAATCTCATCAACCCGAGAATTTCCAGTTTAGTAATGCTCAGAACGTAGAATCTAATAGTTCTAGTGACAATCCGGTCCCCGAAAGAAACCAACAAGAAGCTAACGAGAATTTGCAACCCATTGTTAAAAAAATGCAACTATACAAACCACCAGAAGTCAAAGAAATGGGTGGAACGTGAAGAGTTGGCTTTGGCTAGGGCATATGTCGATTATTCTCTCGATAAACAATGCGAAAATCATCAACGGTTCAATGCATTTTGGGATTGTTATCCACTGAAAGCCTACCTACTGTTTTTTTACGGTTTTTATTTTTTGTATATATATATATATATATATATATATATATATATATATATATATATATATATATATATATATATATATATATATATATATATATATATATATATTGCTATTTACCCTATATTTTTCATGTTTCTTAGTTCAAGAAAGCCGTTAAGTTTAAATTTTTTTTTTTTATTTTTTCCCCTTAAGTTCGTTTTATTTTTTCGGTTTACCCTACAATTTTATTACAACTAGTTAATTTTACTCATAATTTACCAATAAAAAGGAATATAATTAATGATGCTTTACATGCATTTTTTGTGATTATCATAGTATATAATAAGCGCAACCTACGGTATGATGCATGAGTTACACACGAGACACTCTTTATAATTATATGATGCATGGCTTACACACGAGAAGGTCTTTATAATTATATTTACTTTTCTTATTTCTTGTACATAAATATTGAAATTCAATCTTTTACTATAAATTTATGTGGTTTCTGTTGGTGATTTTAGTGTCACCATGTCATTTTAAGTAACTGGAACTAATATGTGAGCTAATGGGCTTCATGAATTGTACTCTAATACATGTACGGGGTTGTGCGGAGCGCACGCATGTATAAGATCGAGTTAGAAGCCGGTTCGACGACTAGTCGGGGGTCCGGGGGTAGCGCCCCTTTAGCGGGGTCTAGGGGCAGCGCCCCTAGCGGGGTCCAAGGAGCAGAGCCCCTAGCTGGGGTCCCACCTTTGCATGTGGGAACATAATGGAAAATTCAATTTATTGAGGGTGATTATGGTAAAACTAACGAAACTCATTAGTTTTGGTAACCCTAATCCGGATTAATATTACTTGCTTTCAAAGCAAGTAATGAGGGCCCAACCCTAATGAAACCCTAATCGTGTTTAGTATATAAACAACTCTTCCTTTCCAGAAGACGGGTTCTTTAGCTCTCGTTTTACATCACACATTCACAGAACCTTTTAGCATAGTAGCTTATGTTTTCTGTGCCTAGAAACGTAGTTGTCCGCTTGGATTATCCTACGCTGAATTTCTTGTAACCCAGACATAGGGTAGAAATATCAGTTCGGAAAGTGATATCACGATCCAAGCTGGTATCCACATCTCCACCGCAAACCCTAATTTTCCCAACAGTTTCTTAATTCAAAGACCACTTTAATTACATTGTTGTAATTAAAGCAATGTATACAATTACCTCAATGTATACAAGTAACGCTACTTAAGGTATGATGCATGTCTAATGTCTTATACCCGAGACCGTCTTTATACTTATGTTTAATTTTCTTCAACTTTAGTAAGATTCAATATTTTACTGCAAATTTATAAGTCATTTAATGAAATAGAAATCCATAAATTACTTCAATTACATTTTTGTAATTAAAGCAATGTATATAAGTAATTCAATGTATACAATACCCTTCGTTAAGGCAAGGCGCATGCCTTACACGTGTGACAAACTTTATATTTTTTTTTGAACCCGCGAATATTATTAATAAAAACGAACCACTACTAGCAAGTACTCAGACGAAATAGAAACATTCATGGAACGAGATACATTGAAGTGGACTTAAAATATAAATGGAGAATCGTTCCAGTTTTCCCAATCACCGATTCCTTCTTTGCTCCTACATTTTATCCAGAAGAACACCAATGACTTAATTGCTCCTACACCATAAGTGGGACTATGATATACTCCATTGAACACCCGATCATTCCTAAGTTTCCACAGTATCCAGATTAGGCCGTGACAAATGCTGAGGAAACTTATCGCCTTCCTTGGGTTGCCACCCCAATATTCTACGAAGGTGATTAATTCACTAACTAATGAGAAATCTTCGTGTTGTATGCCACACCAATTGAAGATAATCTTCGGGACTTCACATGTGAATGGACATTGTAGCAGGATATGATCAGAGCATTCTAATATGTTAACACAAGCCCCACAATTATCATTTTCTATATCAACCCCTTTGCGTCTCAGAGCCACTGCGGATGAGATCTTCCTTTGCATCGCTCTCCATATAAAACAGTTAACTTTAATCGGAGATATCTTATTCCATTTAAAAGTTGGTAGAACTCGATTAGGGTATTTTATACTTATGTTAACTTTTTCGCAAATTTCTCACATAAAATGAGATTCTATCTTTTACTATAAGTTTATAAGTCGTTTTTTAAAATAGTAATCCATAAAAAGTATAAAATACAAAAAAGAATACCGAAAAAGGTGATAACTAAAATGAATTAGAAAATAACTTATTAAAATTGATATAAATCCTATAGATGGCCAAATATTAAATAACAGGATATCTCCACGAAGATTTCTTTTGCAAAGTAATTTGATACCATCTATTCTAATATAAATTGAGGAATTCTTACAGGGCTTGCTTATGTGGGATCAATCCGTGTTGTTATTTGTTACCAGTACATGTTTAAAAATAGAAATAAGCATTACTGTAAAACCGTAAAAACTCTACAAATTTAAGGTTTTCTTGCAAGTTTCATTATAAAGAAGCGGAGAGACTAGTGAAAATTATAACAGGAAAATAGTAAAATAAAAAAGTTGCATGAAAACTATAAAATAAACCCTAAAAAAATTACAAAAAAAGGTAAAACAGCAAGACTGAAAAAAACTCAGGGTTTTCTTACAAACATTTTATGTTTTTGAAAGATCGACATTGAATTTCCAATGCTGGAAATGTCACAAAATATACGTTAGCTCCCGGAATTCAATAGAGCTTTACAAAAATTTAATCCAAATCGAGTTTAAGAAATTATTTCCTAAGTGGAATATTAGTAGATAAACACTTTCCATTAGATCAATATTTATGTGGTTCACGCAAAATACAACACGAATATTGTGTTGAAAAACAAGTCCAATTTTACTATTTCACTTTTATTATACAAATTCACGTTTCAAGTGAATATGTATATGTGTCTTCATAGAGGCACTATTTAAATGTGAAAGTTTCCAACTTTTTATATCATACTAAATGATAGTAACCATAACAACAATAAAACTTCTAAACCGAAACGACCTAACCACCCTATAATGCTATAAGGTCCACATTACCAACTCATTTTAGTCCTACCACCATATCAAAAGTCTGGTCCAAAAACTTGGACCAGATGTAGTACCTAATCAAGACCGGGTCTAAACCTTAGACCCGGTCTTTTACACATCTTTACAACAAAACACCAACAAACAAACCCTAGGGCTTCATCCCTGAGACCCTATGTGAATTTAACAAAAAAAAAAAGTCTAATAAGACATATCAACAACATACCATAATGCAAAATACCATTTTTCTTAAAAACCCTCTTTCTATAAACAATCAAAATCATACTTTCTCTTCTTAGCTTCCGGCATACCATTTTGGTTCCCTGTGGGACCCGCCCACGATAACGGTTCTGCTACAAAACACACGTAAAATCCAAATTTACATTTTTCTTTACACATAATAATAATTACTTTATTTTAGTTTTTTTTTTTTTTAAATAGGAAGTTACCTATTTGCAAATTAAAGTTGTCTACCGGGCCCGCCCATGCTATTGGTTGAACTGCAAGATGTAAAAGATCACTTTAGTCGATAATAGCAACATACTTACATTTCTTTACTCATAATAGTAATTTACTCTATCATAAAAAATTATGTGATAGAAAATTGTTTTACCCATAATAGCAACGTACTTACATTTACTTTATTGATAATAACAATTTACCTTATTTTTAAATTTTTAAATATAATTTCGTTGTTATATTGTGTAAAAAAATGTAAGTAAGTTGCTATTATGGGTAAAAAAATAAAATACATTGGTTATATATTGGTAAAGAGAATAAAGTACACTGCTAATTTAGGCAATTTATATATTTGTTTTCCATACGAATTAACAAAAAATAATTTTAAATTTGAAGCCTAAAATACCTGGTGAAGGTTCTTGATTCTGAGAAGGACGTTTTCTCACATAGTCATCGCGTAAAGGTTTTGGGATTTGAAATGAAAATCGGTTTATTGCAACTCCTTGTGCATGTTCTGGATGGCTAGCCAAATATCTGCTTAATAAAAATATTTAGGAACCATTTTATCTTGTAATATAAATATATAATACCAAAAAGATAAATTACAGAAAAACATTTGTAATTCACTAATTGAGTAATTTCACCATTTTATTGATTTAATGACTAATTATTTTCTATAACGAGTAAACCATTATATACTATTTTGACCGTTTGAAAAACAAAAAGTTTTCCTGGTTTTGATAATGTCAATCTACAGAAAAACAAATATATATATATATATATATATATATATATATATATATATATATATATATATATATATATATATTGTATAATTAGCATAATAATAATAGTTCAAAATATGAGTTCAGTGACTAAAACGATAAAATGATGAAAATACGACATGCTTTTCTATACTTTGCCTATATAAAAACCATAAAATGTTAAAAATGTGTTCTTTAAATGGTCAAATTAAATAGAACAAATTACATTTTTAGTCCGTGTGCTTGGTTGATTTTTTTGGTTTTGGTCCAGAATGGAATCTTTTTTACATTTTTGGTCCCTCTCATTGACACTGTCACGAAAAGTGACCAAAAATGTTATGGAGAATGAAATAGGGACCAAAAATGGAAAAAAAGAGATTTCTATTTTCTCTCTAAACCAAAACCAAAAAAAAAAACAATTAAAATGTACTTTACTCAAAAAAAGAAATATAATATTATATATAATTATTACAGAAAATAGTTAAGATACCAAATCAACAAAATCATCAAATTAAAATTAAAGAGTGAAGAACATACTTTTCAACTTCAGGTGTTGAGCGAAGTTTAGTACCCGTTGGTGAAGCATAATACCTAAAAACAATAAATACATACAAAACCAACATCCATCATAAAAAAAATTCATAAAAACAAGGGTTAATCTCATAATAAACCTTATATTTTTTGTGTTTTTTCGGGATTAACCTCATCTTTATTGCTTTCATGAGAAAGGCCTTATATTTTTTTCATTTTTTCCAAAAAAAACCTCAACTTTTAAACTGTTTCCGAAAAAACCCTCAAGATTATTAGTTTTTTCCAAAAAAAAACCCTCACGTTTTACAAGTTTTTTCAGAGAAGAATGACTAAAAGGGCCAGATCGGAAAAAAAAAATGCAAGGTCTTTTTCATGAAAAAAATAACGTTGAGGTTTAATCCAGAAAAAACACAAAATATAAGGTCTTTTACGAGATTAACCCTAGAAACAACACAAAAATATAAGATTTGGGAAAAAGATTCTTACACGTCAGCAAATTTCGAGCTCCCTTCACTTCTAAGCCTCAAAAGCCTCTTCCACCCTGGAGGAGGCTTTGCGATATTGGGCTTATCAATAGCCCAAATTCTCGAGCCATCCTGCTCGATGTCAGTGGGATCGTCACACGAAATGTGACGATCCCACTGACGTGTGGTGGCACACAGAAACGGGTGATCCGTGATATGTTCACGGATCACCTCATATTTTTCTTGATCAGGGATCAATCTCCATTTAAAGCAATTAGCACATTGGACAGTGAAAGCACCGACTTCAGGCACTACTCTTTTGGGATCTAAATGCTTTTTAGGAAAAGATCGGGGCTTGTTTTGGATGGATGTGATTGCATTTGAATGATTTGAAGAAGGGTTGTAAATAACCATTTGTTTTTGGGAGTCGGGATATGGTGGAGGGGTGTTTTCGTCATCTTCGGTGGAATATTCGGAGGAAGAAGAAGCGTTTGGGATGTGATCTGTTCCTTTGCTATCGCTGTTGGATGGGATGGTTGGCACCTCGAGGGCATTTTGGTCATTTTCTATTGTCTTTTGGCGGTTCTGATTGGTGCATGGCGTGATCTCATGCACTTTTCCGCCCATTTTTATGGTGAATTTTGTGGGTCGGGATTGCATTGGTGCAAATCGGAGAGTTCCCTAATGTAAAAAGAAAAGGAAATGAGGAAACAAAAAAAAGATTAATGAAAGTAAGAGGATATTGATATAATTTGATAGATTTTTCATAGTACAATGTTGTAATAGGAAGAAATGAAAGTGGAATGCTTATAATAAACAAATAAAAGAGAGTATGTTGCTTTTTCTTGCATTTAATCCTTTTCTTATAGGGCAACTTATAAGTTATAACCAAAAAGTTAGTGACTTTATGCAACTTCAAATAATGAAAACTCGACTCATTTTAGTATATAATTTATAATCTATGATCATATTATCGGTAGTTAATGTTTTGACTGCATATTACTCCTTCCGTCTCACACTAAGTGTCCTCTTTCCCTTTTTATGTGTACCCTAAAAAACGTATTTTTATCGTTAATTTTGATATATCCTATTTTAGTAATATCCCACATGTCCACTTACAAAAATGGAAGAAAATGAAAAAAGAAAAACGATTAGATGCTTTTCGTTGAGTTATAATAATTGAAAATGTAACCCTAGTCATAGGTAGGGCTAGCCTCTTATCTCAAGCATCATTCCGTATTTCTTATATTTCTTATAGGGCTAAATGCAAGATATCGTAACATCATGTTACTTTCATTTCTTTTTGTTACAACAACCGATATTTTTCTTATTATGACATTCATCAAATTATAGTATTGTCCTTTTATTTTATTTATTATGACATCGTACTTTGAAAAATATACGCAATGAAAATTGTTGTGTGTTTGGATGACATTGCAATAGTTGAGTTGATATTTTCAAAGTACAATGTTGTAATAGCAAGAAATGAAACTATCATGTTATAATAAAAAAAAAAATAAACAAAAAATACATTGCTATTTCTTGCTTTTAACCCTTCTTTTATCATTTCAATTATTCTAATTTCTAAGCATTAGATGTTACACCTTTCCTTGTTCTTGTAGATGAAACCTAAATACCCTTCGTGAGGTAACCTAGAATTAAATGACTCTTACCTCTTTAAGCTCGAATTTTCTAGAAAGTTAACTTTGATTGGTAAATGTTACTACTTGAGCTCCATGATTTCTTACTCCAAATTCTGCAATGAATTAATAATTAGTATCTAAAATACAAATTTAAATTATAATGAATAGAAGTGTATGCATTTACCTCTTTTATGTAGTTGCGAAACACGTAAAACACATCACATGCTCGAGTCGGAAATTACTGAAAAGAATAATAATTCAAGAAGTTAAAATCATACATATATGCTTAGATTAGCCCAAAACTCTATCTACAAATACATAAACATTGATTATAAAATATTCTGATTAAAATGATTAAATTTACCCAACCCTTTTGAACTCTGATTATAGTTAAATAATTTTTGTGATTCTGTACTTTATCACATGATTAGAAAATACAAAGTAACCACAAACATGTTTGTTATACGAATTAGAAATTAGTATAAAATAAAATTAAATTCACTATGAGCACAATAGATTACAATGTGGTTGATAAAATATGTAAAAAAAAATGATTTTTTTGCATATGCTTGCGAAAAAGATATAACACATGTATTAACTAATTGATATCAAACTCATAATCGAAAATTTTAGAAAGAAAATCTTGAAAAGTATATAAATTTAGCTTCTGGATAGAAAGCTCGTGTGTATAGATTCATGTAAGATCTATACCAAAGATACGAAAAAAAAAATCAATCGATCGATAAACAATACCAAGATCGGAAAAAAAAAAATTTAAAAATCAATCAATCGATTATAAATCAGACAACTTTTTAGGCGATTAAGCCAAGAAACAGGTTTATGCATCTCTATACACCTGAATCTGTTCTTATAACACATAAATTCCAAATTTATAATGAACCCAGAAGCTGTCATTCAAAACAAATTCATGGAGGAATGAAGCTCGTACATAAAGACTCGTGTTGGATCACGATCAATGTGTTAAAACTAATAAAACCCAGTAGCAAAAACATCAAATCGCAGTTAGAAACACAATCAAACACACAAAAAAGAGATTAAAAACGAAGCGATTAACATTCTTTTCAGACACCCATGTGAAGATGGTAAAATTGAACAAATGTTTGCTTTATTCCTCTTGCAACAAAACAGATTTGAGAGTTCCGTGATAAAATTGATGAGAGCGAACACAAAAGAGAAAGGAAAATCGAAAGAAATCCCAAACAGGATGCTCATACACGAAAAATTATGCTAGATCGGTATTAAAGTGTCGAGAACACTACAATTCACTTGCAGAAATCAGTAAACCCTACAAATTACTAAACGAAGATAGAACGACTCGATCGAAAGTTGTAATCAGCTTAAAACCCCAAAATTGGTTGAAAATAATGAATTTTAATAAGCAAATATATGAAATTGTCAACTAGATTTGAGAAAAACAAAGGATTTCAGCAATTGAAGTACAGGATTGGATGAAGATACTTGCTTTTTACAGATAGATTACTTACTAAAGAGTAAAACAGGAGATCTGAACTGAAGATTGAAATTGGGTCGATTATCACAAGACAAATGATTTATGTAGTCTTGATGTGATTTTATGACTTGAGGTTGGGGATTGGAAGGAAGGGTAAGAACAGATATCTGATCTATAAATGCACTTCAACAAACATTTCAACAAATTTACAGATTACATGAATTGGGTTCAGGAAATCTACATGGATACGAAGAAATAGACACAACTTGACAAAAGTATCATTAATTACCGAAAGATTTTATACTAATTTTTACATTAAAAAAAATAATAATAAAAATAAAAAAAATAATAATAATAATAATTACAGATTACATGAATTGGGTTCAGGAAATCTACATGGATACGAAGAAATAGACACAACTTGACAAAAGTATCATTAATTACCGAGAGATTTTATACTAATTTTTACATTAAAAAAATAAATAAATAAATAAAATAAAAATTAAAAAAAAAAATTACAGATTACATGAATTGGGTTCAGGAAATCTACATGGATACGAAGAAATAGACACAACTTGATAAAAGTATCATTAATTACCGAAAGATTTTATACTAATTTTTCCATTAAAAAAAAAATCTATAGTTTCTGTCTGGAAAAGTGTTGTCTGAAAAAATTTATGACCGGGAAAAACCATGTTGTTTGATTGTTCGTTTGATTGACTGTATCGAATGATGAAAAAATGACAATATTATACTGCTCTTCTATACCGTAATTGATCAAAATTATACAATAATAATTTAAAAATCCAAATAAAATTTGGATTAATTTGTTTTTAGTTTATTGTTTTTTAAGTTGATGTTTCATTATTATTCTTTCTAGTAATTTTTGTTTTTGTATAACTCAACGTGTGATTTTTTATCCGGTTTATGTCTGATAATGGTGGGATGGATGAAATTTTTTAAAATATATTAGGATGATGGTGATGTGTCCAAAAAAAAAATTAATCCAATAAAAATGAATTATAAAAATTAACTAAAAGAAATTAATAATCCAATAAAAATTCAATAAAAATAAATAAATTAAATATTATTTAAAAGAAATAAATAATCCAAAAAAGAAAGATATAAGGTTTGGGACACAATTGTATTTCCAACATATTCAGCCAAAAAGATATGGTTTTGGAGCTTTCTGGAAAAACACATATCTTATCGGGAAAGACCTATTTTTTTTGTGTATATAAACAGTTTTTCCGATCCATTTAACTAAAAAGATTTGTTTGGACTTGGAAAAATATTTATCAAACGGGACCTAAACCAAAAACTAAAAACTAGAGGCGAGAAAAAACCAAATTAACCGATACAATTAAATCATTTTAATCGAACTGTTAAAGATATGGTTCAATTTTTAATTTTGATTAATCGAATATATATGGTTCCGTTATGGTTTTCATAAAAAACTGAATCATTATAAACCGAGCCGAACCAATAATATTATTAATGTTTTTAGAATAATATAATATTAATATATGATATGTAATTATATTGGGAATTAAAAATTTTAAGGGTAATTATCAGTGGTGAATCTAGAACCGAAAATCATCTGGTTTCCAATTTAAGTGACACTGAAAAAAATAAAATAGTAAAAAAATACTAACGGTTGGCCGGGTCGTATAAATTAAAAAAAAATTAAACATAACTTCAATAATTATATTAAATTTCTTATAATTATATCCAACGTTGATATATATCTTGAAATATATTCATTGTATCATTATCGATACTTTCCAAAATATATTTTTTCAATAACTATTGAACTAACCATGTTAATTGTAACTAAAAATATTGATATCAAAATACTCACTAACCGACAACTAGCAAACATAAAATGAATTTTATATCTAGACCATTTTTCGGTAGCAATATAACAATTTAATATGCTTAGGTTTAATACTTATAATGCATAAACAAATTCATAATGTAATACCCCATTTAGTTAATAAATAAACAAATAAATTAATATGTAACTCCCAGACTAAATTGTGAAGAATTTTGATAGTTGATGGTTGTTTAGTAAATTCCCATATTTAATTTGAGTAGGATTTTAGAAGTGGGGGTATGTTTGGTAATTATTAGGACTTATTATGAAATGGAATTCATAATGCATGGTATAAATGGTAAATGATGGACTTAGATTGAATAGATTCTTGGAGGCGGGGCTAAAAGGTAAATTTTGGGGCTTATATGAAAAAGAATTGATAAGGAGGGGCTGTATGTGACAAAAGCAAAAGGAAGTTTGTATGGGAAAGGATATACCCGCTGACCTTTCCTTCCTGTCACCTTATTACTCCCACACCCTAAACCTAAAGGTTCCAGTCGCCACCACCGTGTGTTACACTTTCAGCCGCCACCTTCTTCTTGTTCTTCCGACCAGTCAAGAGCGTCGCCCACAGCCTCACCGACGAGTACCACCACATTGTTGCCACCGGAGACGTAAGGAAGTCGGGGGAGCCACCGAGACCCACAAAGGAGACGGTGAACGCCATTGTTGAGTATGAACGACCTGAAACTCTCAGTTAGTCCACCGAAAACCACCTATCTATCCTTTCTTCTTCGTTATTTCTATGATTTGGTGTTGTGTACGCCGGGTGCTGCCGCCAATAGACCTATGGTCGCCGTTTGGGTCGCCGCCGTTGTTGGATCGCCATTTCCTTCCTCTACTTCTTGTTGTGGGCATGGTTTCGTTCCAAGGTGGTCTCCGCTCATCCTCCTCATCCCTTCTTCTCTCTAGTCTGGTGTTGCAACGCCGCCTTTAGCCACTATTGTGGCTGTGAGGTCTATCGTTGTCGTCGTCACACACCACCATAAGGTGGTCGTTGTGTCCAGATTCCCAAGCAAGTACTTACCGGTGTCGTTGCTATTTGACAAGACAATTGTCGCCAGGTGGGTGGTTGGTTTCCTTTTCTGAGCATAGGAGTGAAGATATGTGTATTTGTCAAGCTGGAAAGCCGAGGACCGCCACTGACACCACCGTGAGGTGGTGGCTGCCACCAAGCGCCACCTTCGGCCACCACAGTGTGGTTGTGTGTGTTAGTTAATATTTATGTTAGTGAGTGTTTGTGTTATTTTGGATAAAAGCCTTGTAACTGTAATTAGCATTGAATAATGAAAATAATAATAATAATAATAATAATAATAATAATAATAATAATAATAATAATAATAACCACCACCACAAGGTGGTGATCGCCGCAAGAGCCGCCGTTGACTACCACTACTCAAGGTAGTAGTGGGTGGTGCCCCACTAGCCAAAACCCTAATGGGCTTAAAGATTAGTTTTTGGCCTATTGGGCCATGTTTGGGTGGAAAACCCTAATTATGAGTATTTGGGCCTTGGACTTATTTGGATCCACCTTTGGGCCATTAGGATTGGATTGTGTATTAAGCCCAAATTATTTCATATCATTTATCTAGTAGAGTAAATGACTTATTGGGTTAAGTCCTTATTGAGTTAAGTGAGAAACACTTAACCTTAATTGTCATTTTATGTGAAACCCTAATTTCACTTAGACTTGAGTTGGGCCTTCTTATTGGGCCTTGGTGATTAGGATAATAATAGACCATCCAAGAGCAAGTAAAAGGATTAGAATAATTTAATGGACTTAGGGTAAGGCCCATATGAGGGTTTAGACCCAATTTGGAAAATTGGGCCATAGTTTTGGCCTTGATGGTTATATGATATTAGGCCATTAGAATGCTAAATGTTGGACTGGACTAAATGGTTAGGCCTTTGATCAAACCATGTAAAGACTTGGGCCCAATTGGGAAAATTAGGCCATAGATGGGCCATAGTTGGGCCTTAGTCCATTATTAGACTTTTGGGCCTTTGGATTGGGCCTTGGGCTTGAGCTAAGCTAAGATACGGGTATAGTAGTCTTTTACCCCAAGTATGGACTTATGGTTATGAGTTGGAACCCAATTATTAATGGGATGTTATTTTGATATTGACAGACCGGGAATCTGTCATCCAGCGGCTATGGTTTTGTCAGCCGGACTTCAGTAATGTGAGGAGAGTCCTCTTCCTATAGGAATGAGTCTAAGGCCACAATATCGATCCGTTTAAGTAGTTGTAGTATACCAGGGTAAGCCCAATGTAGTTTATATGTTTCCGAACTTCAGTCCAATGTCGGGGCGGACCCGAGAAGTAGTTGAGTATGCGTGATGTCTTTGTGATGCATGCAGGTTATATGATATGTGCTATGTGTTCTGGAATTCGATCCAATGTCGGAGCAAGCCTGATGTCTGTTAATTTACATGTTGTATGTTATTTGTTCTGGGGTAAGCCCGATGTATGTTAGTTATTGTGCCATGTGTTATGTGTTATGGGGCAAGCCCGATGTATGCTAGTTTATATGTTATATGATATATGTTCCGAGCTTCGGTCCGATGCTAGGGCAAGCCCGATGCAGATTATGTGATATATGATGTGTTGTGTATATGCAGGGTAATCCCGATGTCGTGGTGAGCCCGATTCCCGTGCGGTCGGATGTCGGGGTGAGCCCAATGCCAGACAGGAGTCCGATGCCAGGTAAGCCGATGTCGGGATTCATCCCGATGCAGTTGAGAAGAGTCCCGGAGTTATATTTATGTTATGTGTTTATGTTATATACATTGTGGATATGTTTATATGTGTACCAGATTATGGTCCGATGTCGGGCAGGGCCTGATGCAGTGGGCTAGGCCCAATTTATATGATTATGCGTATGTTATATGGTAGTTTGGGGAGACTCACTAAGCTTCATGCTTACAGTTTTCTGTTTTGGTTTTAGGTACTCAGTTTTCAAAAGAGGAGCTCGAGAAGATTACAGTGCACACACCATTTGTTCAGCTTGGGATTTTTATACTCTGATATATTTGACAGATGTTATATTATTCTTGAGATACATTGTTTATGATTTTTATATGTTGAAAGATAATTATAGTTTTATTAATGAGTTAAAAAAAAAATTTGGCTTGTATTTTTGGGATGTTACAAGTTGGTATCAGATCCTTGGTTTGAGGGATTCAAGCACACTCATGGGTGTGTCTGAACTCAAACTAAGGGATTTGTATGGAAATTTTTAAAAAGGAAAATCATTTTTTTTTGAAAAAAAAGGGGTTTTAAGAAAAAGCCAAAAAGAATTTTTGATTTTGAAAGAAAAGAACTTTGAAAAGAGAAAAAGGCTGTGGTGCATGAAATCAGCTGAGCTTAAGTAAGTACTCCCAAATTACCCATACAAGTTTATGCTATGTTATGATTATCAGCTTTATTAGAACAACATGCTAGATTAGGACTAAGAATCTAGGAAGGATGTCTTATGTGCCAGTTATACGTGTTTCAGCTCTATGAGAACGGCATGCTAGTACAGAATTGTTAGTATGATAGCCAAAGTAGTATATGCTTGATTATGTGTACTTGATGCTCAAATGCTGCTTGCTTTGTGATTTTAGGAGTCTTAGTTACCTTTTACTAACTAGTAAATGAATATGTTACGTTACATATTGTGAGGATTAAATAATTTTAGAAGGTTATGTCTAGCTCTATTGTGCAGCTCTTATCTAAGTCCAACCATTGTAGGGTAGGATCTCTCATTCGATGAATTATCTAGTCTTAGTGATATGTAATAGTGTTCACGAGCTAGTTATGGGGAGGTAGCCAAGACTTCTTGTGCAACTGATAGTAGAGAGTGGGTTGGTGATTACCCTAGGGAAAGCCCAGGATGAGAGTAGCAGAGAGCAGTAGCGGTAGAAGGGACTTGGTGGAGTCAAGACAGTTCTTGAGGAAAGTACGAATAGATATGGAAGGTAGTATGGGCCCGTACTACTTAAAGCAGAGGATCCGTACTCGAATCAAGGAAGGCCGAGATAAGGCCAGGGAACTTGTAGTGTGTGAGATCCCTAGAGCTTTGATGAGTATTATGATGTTAGTGATGGTATATTACCGAGTATAGTGGCGCTACGTGGTAGACCAAATGGTAGCTCTGGTGTCGACGATAGATCAGGCTCAGACTCTGTAGCCAGACAGCTCGATGATCAGATGAGGAAGTATGATCAAGAAATGGCATATGCCAATTGCATACCGAGAATTATTAGCAGATAGCGAAAGATCATTTCCCAAATTGCGGGATTGGGAGAGTATGGCGTCATCTTGGTTTACCCCAGGATTAAGGAGCAGCACGAGGAGCGCCTGTGGGAGGTGCTAGAGACCTTGTGGAGGGAGAGACTTTTTTTCAAGGTACTCTAAATGTGAGTTCTGGCTGCGCGAGGTGCAATTTCTTGGGCACCTTGTCAATCAGAAGGGTATTCTAGTCGTTCCGGCCAAGATAGAGGTTGTGATGCAGTGGGAGATTTCTAGGTCTCCAACTAAGATTCAAGGCTTCCTAGGTTTAGCGGGTTATTACCAGAGATTTATTCGGGTTCTTTGAGGTGGTGTGATCTTTTGGACTGGCTAGTATTGAAACACTAGCAATGGTAAGCGTGGTTTTCAGCAGATTGAGCATAGAATGATAAGAAGGATTGAGAATCCTTCCAGTATTGTGTGTTGTAAGATGTTTGGTGAATCAAAGTGGGGGAGAATCCAAGGATTTAGAAGTAGGAGCAGTTTTGAAACTAGGATAAGTTCCGCATCCTTGTCAGGAAGGAAGATAGCCTAAACGGCTGGATGATTTGAGGATAGTGTAAGATGGAAGTTTGGAAAAACTTGCCAATGAGGAGATCGCGTTCCCGTAATGTTTTCTAGCAAGCCATAGGGTATTAGGTTGGGGATTCCAGTCGGGACATGAGTTTAGTTTAGTGCGGGTCAAGCACGTGTCGATCCAGTATGGAGAGTGGTGTAAGTCTGCGGGTGTAGTCGTAGCATTCACTAGCAGCCAAATAGTGTTAGAGTGTTGTAAGTCTGCGGGTGTAACCGTAGCGTTCACTAGCATCCATATAGTGTTAGAGTATTGTAAGTCTACGGGTGTAGCCGTAGCATTCACTAGCAGCCAGATAGTGATAGAGTGTTGTAAGTCTACGGGTATAGCTGTAGCATTCACTAGGTTGATAGATAGCGTGAGTGTGTTGTTAGGACGTGGAAGGAACAATAGTACCCACCAGTTCGGGTGTAGCAGTGAGGATATGGAAATCCACGAATTGGATTTTGGAATTACCTAGACGGATTAGACCTGGTTAAGCCAGTGATAAGACTGTAAAAGCATCACTATAGTTATGATGGCAACGAAGCAAAGGACTGATTAAGGTCATTCATCACATGGGGATACCAATGGTCATGTAGCAATTCAGTGTTTTGGGCAGGTCAGTGTTTCAGGCAGTTCAATGTTTAGGTGGTTCAATGTTTCAGGCAGTTCAGTGTTCAGGCAGTTCAGTGTTTTTAGGCGGATTAGTGTTTTAGACAGTTTTGGGTCTCCAACAGTAATGGTATTTTAGGATTACATGTATGGTTAGAGTCACAGATAGCTTGGGTTATGCTAAGTCACCCACCGCGGGGTTCATCTATAATGATTTAGTATGAGTGGTCTGTCAGGGATTCAGACTATCTCGAGACAACAAATTTTAGATTGAGTATATGTGATCTTGTTGTGAGGAACTCAGTATCTACGGATTTTAGAACCCTGCACGGGTTGGTCACGGGTGGCCTCAGGAGGCTTGGGTGTGCCCAGGGTTGTGGCCAGGTTACTTAAGTAGGTTGGCATATAAGGAATTATAAAGGTTGATTTCGAGGACAAAATCCATATTAC